TAACTAAATCTCATAGTTTTTATTAACATTACTCACAAGCATTTATCACATAATTCATACACTTCAACCAACAAAAGCTTATTGTAGTCACTTTGCATGCTTACCTCTCGGTTCAAGCTGGAATTTCCAAATATGGTTCACAACTTCCTCACATTTATGGTTACCTTTGCTGCCACAAACATAGTCAATCAATATGCATCTCATTTTTCATTCTACTTATGATTTCAAGACTGAAACTCTTACCCATTGCTTATTTAACTCCAAAATCACCATGCATTCCAAGATCTACCTACATGCATGCCTCAGGTCCTTTGAATCTTTGTAGATTCTTGCTACCACAAACAAAATCTCACATTACAATTTATTTACAAGCATGCATTTCAAGCAAAATGACAATATTTTTATCTTCCTTGTCTCGAGTTCACTAAGCTGAACCTTCCTTTCCTTTTTCTTCTTCCTCCTTTCTTCCTTTCTCCCTTTCATCCTTTCTCTTCTCACTTTGTTATGGGCAGAACCCTCAAGGTAAAAGCCTTGAAAATGGTTTTGATTTTCTAATTTTGTTCACACATGGACGAATTGCCCAAGGTTACTTTCTTTTTATATTATTTTCTTTTCTTTTCTCTTTACTTTTCTTTCATGGGCGGATTGCCGAAAGCTTGGTGACTTTTGACATATTTCTTTTATCTTTTATGTGGCTAAAATCACAAGGCAAAAAGGGTTTTGAAACCTTTCCACCCGCCACCTCACTTTCCATTATTTCTTTTTTGATTTCTTTATTCCATGTACCACATTCACCTTATATTTTATTTAGCCATTCTCTAACCTATTCAAGTCACATGCAGCTCACTTTCTTCTTTCTTGATTTCACCACATAATGCACTAATCACATTACATGTAAATAAATTTTAATCTTATTCTTTTTTCACATGATAGGGATCCCACATGTTTCCCACTAACTTCTCTTTTTTGCATGTAATAGTGAGTTTCATATGTATATCTCATATTCCAGATAATCTAACTTTCCTTGGTTAAAAAATTCCCATTTAGCTTCAAATATTGAAATTACAAATGAGTCCTCAAGCTTTTCCTTATTTATCATGTGACCCTCCAAACTTTTCATCTTTCACAATTTGGTCCTTCCAACACTTCTTAAATTCCAATTTCCTTCTATCTTCCTTCTTTTATATGCATACAAATAAAATATAAAATTTGCACCTCATCAAGGTGTCACCATAATATTTAAATATATACTTACCCACTCTTATTTTATTTAATAAAGACATGTGAGTCTCACTAACATTGTTTTTCTTCAAAATTCTTTCTTACTTCTTCTCCCTCACTTAGATTAGTCTTATAATCCTCCTTCATGACTAATTTCAATAGTAGATAAATATATACATCCTTTCATTTGATATCCGCATTACCCGCAATGACAAATTACAATTATTTAACCTTTATTCAAAATCTCATAATGACAGTATGAGTAGATACTAAAACTTCAAATGAGGTTCATAAACTTCTTTGGATACCATTATGCCCTAAATCCAACAATCTAAGTACTAGTATTCCTAGGGCCAACACGAGCAACAAAACTAGCTTTAATCGGAGCAACTAAATACTTGAACTAACATGTGGCTGCTTGTTACATAAACAAGTTAGCTAAACGTGACCCACTAAGAGAATTCCATATAGTATTAAGGTAAGTTATCCTTAGACTTAAGATTATCATGTTGCCTTATTTGTGAATTGCTATACTTTCAAACTATTTAAAATGGACCTAATCAAGGATGCTTAGAAAAGGGATAAATATGTTGGTAGAAAGGCATGCAATTATGCTACACTACACAATGGAAATTTAAAACTTTTTCCTTAGGTAGAATCATTTATGGATATTAATCATAGATTAACCCTAATTAAAAGATAAAGGTCTCTATTGAAATTACAAGGTTCCAACATAATTAATCCTCTTGTACCAAGCTAGGTTGTAGAAAACCATAAGCTGTCCAAGTGAGCAACCTAATGGTGATCAACATGAATGATAATTGTGAATAACTCTAATGGAGAATAAGGTTACTTATGCTTGTAGAGCTTACTACTAGCTAAAAGAGAGGCAATTCCTACTTTTTTTTTCACCAAGAGAAACCTAAACACAACTAAGAACATCAAGGTCCACTAATTGACAACCAAGGAACCAAGTCTCTTGACAAGGTGTAATCTACATGGTTTTTCTCCTTGATTAATCCATAAGGTTTCAAAAACCATTGTTTAAACCTCGATCAATGGATGAATTAGTATGAGTCATACTCAAGATTGGGAAAAAAGCAATGGCCAAATGATTGTGAGTGATGATTGACGGTTCACAATGATATAGGATAGCTAGGCCAATTCTTAGAGTTTTGGAACTCTTTCTAATTTTTCTCTGTCAAGTATTTCAAGATTTTCAGTGTATTAGTGTTGGTTATGTGGCTCGTGTCTCAAAGTCAACATGAACCTCATATTTGTAAGCAATTAATTAATCTTAAACCCTATAGGATTATGCATGAACATTATGCTTAGTTACATAATAGCTTTTATGACTAATTGAACCATTCAATTATGTCATTCATTTATGTCCTTGAAGTTTTTAACTTTCTTTAATTAAATCCAAATTCATTAACCTCTTTTAAATTTCTCAATTGACATTTTTAATGTGTGTGACTCATTATATTCTTAACATGTTAGCAATAAATATGAATTATAATTTTAGTCAAAGTAAGATTAAATGAATCAAACTTTTTTACATTCATCGTCAATTCTCAATTGATTAGTTCTTATTTATAAGTGAAGATTGACATCTAGTAATATATCATGACTATTCAAATATTAAAAAAGAATCACAGTGGTCTTACTCAGTCTTTCGGTGTGTAGTCTTACAATGTAATCAATATCCTGACAAGATTTAGAATATAGTGTAATGCCTATTCTAAATTTGCTTTTTCTAATGTAATCCTAGCAGTGGAGCTCATTTTAATCGTTTTATCACTTATTCATTTGTCTTTTTATAGTTATTTTTGTCAACCAAACATGAAAATAATGTCAGATTGACAATTTCTTTCAAGAAACTAAACTAAATAATATTTATTTTATTATATACTTATCTTATGTTATTTCTAGATAATAATTATTTTATTCGGTAACTGCGGCAGGCAGGGACCCGACTGTTAATGCAGTTCAATTTCGTACCCGCACCGGGTTATCAACTTTAATATCTGACCCGACCCCGTTTATGAACAAAAGAACACCACTCTCCGTCGCAGACCACTATTTTGCGACCCCTACTCCGTACTATAACGATCCAAAGTAACATTGATTTTGGAACAAAGGCCTTGGCACTTCCCACTTTGCACTAGTTTTAAAGAAAAGGAAAAAGCAATGGCCCTAGACATCTCCATTTTCGAAACCATACACCCCTCCCGCTTCCTGTCCTTCACCATCCCCAACCCCGATCCTTCTCACTCTTCTCCACTCATCCGAATAGCCATCCTCGACTCTCCCCTCCAACCGCCCACCCCCTCCTCTTCCTCCCTTTCTGCTCCAAACGTCGCCGCCATGTTCGTCCCCAAACACCGTGAGTCCGACTGGCTTTTCTCCACTGAGTCCGGCCACCTGCAACTCCTCCTCTCCTCCCCCAACATCCAACGCCTCATATTAATCGGACAGCAAGCCATCGTCGACGACCCTAATTCACCTTCCATCTACCGTCGTCCCATCGATTCCGATTGTTTAAACAACCTCGAAATGACGCTAAAGCCACTGGTAATTGCTTTATCTCCTAAAGATTACTTTAAATATGGAAATTTGGAAGTACCAATCTTGAGTTATGAAGACAATGTTATTTCTAGCTTAGTCTTAGAGAAATGTGTTGGGAACTTTGTCGGTGAAATGCTTGTTGAAGATGTTGAGATAGAGAGTACTAATCAAAAAAGGGAATTTAGGAGGAGATTGAGGTTTAAAAGGATGCCTAATTTGGTTCAGACGGAGATTCGAATTGTGCCCAAGACGGTTCATTGTTTGGATTCAGTAGAAATAGGAGGGAATAATAATATAGAGTTTAGCCCCGATTTGGGGGTTTTGGTGCATGTTTATTTGGTGCCAATGGTGGCTAGTCTTGCTTTGGTTGGCTCATGGATCGATGAACGTTTTCAGGTTGGGTTTAGGCCGAAAGCTTTGTGTCTTGGGGTTGGAGGTGGTGCTGTGGTTGGGTTTTTGAAAACACAATTGGATTTTCAGGTTGTTGGTGTTGAGGCTGATAAGGAGGTGTTGAGGGTTGCACAAAAGTATTTTGGATTGGAGGATGGGGATTTTATTCAGATTTGTGTCAGAGATGGTATGGAACTTATGGAGAAACTTGCTTGTGGAGATAGTTATTGTGAAGGAGTTGGCCATATTGAGCCTCAGTTTGATGTTATTATGGTTGATTTGGATTCTAGTGATCTGAGGAATGGTGTTAGTGCTCCCCCCTTGGAATTTGTTAGGAAGGACGTTCTTTTGGCTGCTAGATCAATTCTTTGTGAATCTGGAATTTTTGTTATTAATGTGATCCCTCCAAGTAGGTTGTTTTATGAGAGGTTGGTGCATGATTTTCGGGAGGTTTTTCCTGAGTTATATGAAATAGATGTTGGAAATGGAGAGAATTTTGTTCTAATAGCGAAGGCTTTGCCTACTGCATCTTCGATTAGTGATTGTGAAAATAATTTTCTTAAAAAACTGAGACTCGCAATTTCAGGAGCATATATGGAATCCATGAAGAGAATTTGAGATGCAATGTCTACTGGAAACAATGAATCTGCCGGTTCTGATTGAGCAATATGAATTTTTTAAGATTGTATTCAAGGAAAAGGTTTGCTTCATGAGGTAGTTTTTCTTGTATTCTCTTTTGACAGGAATCTGCTTCAAGGAAATCGAGTGATCATAATTGGACATGTGTTGACATTTATACTTTTACTTTTTAAAATTCCTGGAGGTTGATGAAGAAGAACCCCTTCGCCCTTGGATTGACTGATTGAAACTTCTCCTCAAGATATGTGGGAGTTTGCTGTGCTTGTTTGGGTTTGAAACAAGAAGGTATGATTGTTTTACGCAGCCATAGCTATGATTTCTGGAGCTTTTTGATTTTGAGATTTCCATTGATATTTGACATGTTACAAATTCTTAGGAAATTGCTAATAGTCCAGTTTGTTTTTGTTTCAGTTTTGCAAGAATGAAAACTTATCTAAATTACAGACTAATTTGTGTAAAATATTTGTATACCTTGATGACGTTATAGATTATGAAAACCCATAAAAAAAAAATGAGATGGTTATATTTTTTATTTCTATTTCATGAATTATTTATTTTTAAAGCATTTAACAGGGATATAATAAAAAAACATATGTATACAAAATTATTACTTTATACTAGTAATATTAATAATGTACTACACATGAAAATGCAATACTATATTCTTTTCTTAAGATTTATCCTGTTTTTAAGTGTTTATCTTGCTTTAGTAATTATAGTAAAATAAGGATGCTTTACCTTAAAGATTTTTTTTCCCTTTTTATTTTATAGGTTGCATTAGTGAAGTAAAAATTCTTTACCTCCCAACCATCAAGCACCTCTTCTATTGATTATAAGAACTATTTTTAATAACTATAAAACAATTACAATGGTATATATATCAAATTTAATAAAAAGTGAAAGGGTAATATAGTGTTCAAAAAAGTTTCTTAACTCTGAAGCCCCATTTATAAATGGTATAGATAAAGCTAATCAAAGGCTAGACAAGCTTGCTTCCTTTCTACAGGTCTGTTTTTCTGCATTTCCCTTCCAGCTGATTGCTGCCTCCTTGTCCCTTTTATTTTTTTTATTTTTATTATTTTCAGTAAATATAAAAAGTTTCTTTTGTGGCTCAATGAAATGCTGCTGTTTCTTTTCTTTTTACATGCTGAGCCAGACTCTCTATCTAGATTTGCGATTTGCTCGAATGCTCCCAAATCTATCACCTTCGCCTTTCGTATCAGCAGTATTTGCTTCTCTCCATATCTTCCCAACTTTCAAGATCTTTCTGTGTCTGAATCCATTGAAAATACAGACTTTTTTTTTTTTGCAAAGTGAAAATACAGACTTTATTTCAAAAAATTCTTCAAATGAAATGGGAGTAATAAGTCAGAAAAAACTAAACCCAAATACTCAAAATAGCATATTGTGCTGTTACTCTCACCTCCTTCTCCCACCTCCAAGTCAACCACACATACAATGATTGACAAGAACCAATCCTTGTGGCTGTAAATCACGCATGCAAAGTTTTTCAAAAAGATGCAAGTTTCAACCTGAATAAGAATAAGTGGGAAATGAACGAGAAGAAAGTGGACAGCTGGCCATTTTACATGCCATTGAGAAAAGATGAGAAAACTAGCATGGAATGAAAGGTGATTGGTTTAAGGCTAAACATGATGGGAGCTCCTCCCTCATGTGGTTGCACATTTCCTTTTTCTTAAAGCATGCTGGCAGTTGAAAGGTTTAAACATTTTAAGTGTAGATAGTTCATACTTTGATGAATTTTATAGGTTTGAGTGTGAAATTGTAGCTCATATCAATTATCTTGCATATGCATATTTTACTATATATCATCTTTGTAACTTGGAATAAGTGAAGAAAAAAGAAATGTTTTTAAAAAGAAACAGTAAATATAGTGTCAGTTAAAAAAAAAAGTAAAATAAAACAAAGTAAACTTGTTGCAGAGGGAGGTGTAAGTGAACCAGTACGCTTGTTTAACAGCTTGTGAACATGTTTGGGTTAGGCTGGTTTATGTGTGTTTAATATGGTAAATGAATGATTTGACTAGATTTTAGTGTTTGTTTAATAAACAAGCCGAGCATGAACTAATATGAGTTCAGTTTGTTCTTGTTCACAAACAAACTCATTTATTAGTCTATTAAAAAATAATATAATTATAATTTTTAATAACTCTTTTACAACTTTATAGTTAACAACCATGATTTTTACTCTTTTCTTTTATTTGATAGCGACACCAGCCATTTAGGCTTTTAGCCTTTTAGTGTTTCAACTTTCAACTTTCAAGTGCAGTTGTCTCTCCAGTCTCAAGCCCCACTACCGATAGGCAACAATGCGGTTCTCAACCTCGGTCTTCACATACAGCTGCTTTCTCTTGCTCATTCTTTTTGCCTTATTTCTTCTCTCTAATCTCTACACAACCACTCAATGCTCTTATCTCTTATCTTGGGGGAGGCCACAAAGAGTTCAAGGGAGAAAGCATCTTAATTAGCAATCTCTCCTTTGTTGTATTTTTCTCTTTTTATATTGATTTTGGTTGATTTGGATTTTTGTGGGTTTTATTACGAATCTTTAAGGGTGTTTGGTTATTATCTTGGAATTTGTCAACTGTGAATTTTTTATATGATTATTTTTATAGCTGCTGAAATTTTGTTTTGTTGATTGTGTGTGTTAAACCATAATTTAGCATTTTATTCTAGGCATTTATCTTCTGCTCCAAAAGGAAAGCAAAAGTAACTTTGCGGCACTGATTGGTACCAGAATTTCTATCGACTTGAATGAAAAGCAAAAGCTACTATCAGTTTTTTCTTTTACTTATTTTAGATTTGAAATTTTATAATGTTTTTCACAATTTCATGTTACATATTTATTATAGAGTAAGGAAGAAGTTAAATAGATTTCACCTTGTTGAAGGTTATTTAGTCTCAACTTTTAAAGGTAAGCATTCTTGTATTCTTAATTTTCGTCCTTAATTTTTGGTTACCGTGTAAATTTCTTTTTATGTATGTTGTTTCCTAAAATTTTTTGTTCCATTTATTTTGTGAAATAGGATTCTCGTATGGCACTTTGGTGGAAGAACTCTTTTGGATGAATTTTTATAACTCTTGTTGTTTTTGTTTCCAAAGAATGGAGAATTTGTATTTAAAGTTGTCTTGGACTGAAAAGCTGTTGAAGATTTAGTTGTCTGGATGTTTTTGATGTATTATATTTTATGTGGGATATCTTGCTTAGGAGCTTTTTTCGTAATGGCCAGTTTTATTTTATTCTTGAAACTCTTTTAAGGATTTCTTCTAATATGTTTTGAATGGTGTCTGTAGACATTGTTTGTTCGTTTAAGTTCGTTTGGTTGACTTGTTTATTGTTCATAAACAAGTTCTTCAGCTGTTCACGTATACGTTCATTAATTGTTTACCAATAAATTAATTTAATGTTTATGATTATGCCTTTTTTTTTTTTTTGGATGCTGAAATATTTTCGCAGGGCTCAGCTACTCTGTTAATGTTTTATTAGTAAGGAAAATAAAAACGTACATATGGGAGAGGGACATAAACTTTACCTCCGAATTTACATGAGCACAAAATAAAATAAAATAAAATTAAGGCCTAAAGAATATTTTACTTTACGTGCATATTTTTGTATGCTATTGTAAACAGAAAACCTCTTTTCTTACTAGATTCTAAGAATAGTGAAAAATGACAATAAAAATAGATTAAGACATTTTTTTTTAAAGCAAACATAAGGTCTAAGAATTTTTTGAAGCTCACCTTTTGCTTGGGAAAATACTTGTAGACTTTGGTGCGTGTACCCATGGTTAGAAGAAAGCCTTCTTTATGAATGTACGAAATTATGAAAGACACGCTTTTCAAACATTTTCAGATTGACTCTAGCAAATGGCATTTCTAATGTGAACCGTTATGGCTATCCTGGATCATCTGAACAGCCAACTTTGCATCCATTTCTATCCACACTCTCGTCACATGACAAGAGTTATTTGTATCAAAATTTTCAGAAAAGCCAAGAATGAGAGTACTTGTATATTT